AATAAAAGCATTTATCATATAATACCCCGTTATCGTAAATGCAGCTTTGTCATCAAAACAGCTGCATTTACACCTCCCCTTTTTGGCCAAGACTGACTCTGGTCTTAAATATAAAATATATTTTTGAATTTATCGGCTATGCCGTGTAATTTACTGGGCTTCTTTTGTTTGTTTTTTTTTTGTAAAAGTCAGGGAGGCACAAGGCTACAGTCACACAACAAGGGGCTATGCTTTGTGTTCGCAAAAAGACGAGGCTTGCGGGTTAATTAGTGAACTGGCGCTTTTGTTTTTTTAAGTACTAACGTTAGATATAAATTGCTAGAAAATCATGTAATTGTTTTTTTTTTAACTTACGAAAAAGATGATTTAGAAGAAAAGGGGAAATTCTGAAAGAGGGGAAAAAAGGAAATAGGGAAAGATGAAAAGGACGGGCCATTTAGTACCAGGACGGCAGAGAAAGGGAGGTGGGAAGGGCGTTAGGTAGAAAGGGAGAGAGGTGGGAAAAGAAATGAATTTAGATGGCTAACATAACTGCTGACTGATTTTACGAATTAAACACTAAACTAAGCGAATGCAAAGAAAAAAAATTCACGGTAGCAAAAAAAATGAAAATCAAAAATTTTAGCATAGGAGTAACATAAAAAAAAGTCGGCACGAAGTATGCAATTAGGCAATATTTACAAGCGAAAATAAGCACGAAGTGTGAAATCGAGCAATATTTACAAAAGGAAGCAAACACGAAGTTACTGTATATATGCAAAAACAAGCAATATTATGTATCTACTGGTCTATACAAAAGGTAATGACTTACGATCAAGAGAGAGAAGAAAAAAAAAGAAAAAGGGCTTGTGAGGAGAAGGGATAGGAAAGAAAGTAAAAATTTTGTTTGGTAAGGAATTTACGAGTTAAAATATAATTATAACTATATGCATACAAAAAATGGGAAAAAAAGGAAGGGGAACCGTAACTGACTGTTGCCTGAATATATGATGTTGATCGTACGCGCTATAACTGTAAGAATGAAGTCTGGAAATAGAGGATTAAGCACGCTTATTATGAAGTGAGAATGAAATAAAGAAAAATAAAGAGAAAAGGTAAATTAATAATTTTTAACCACTACGTGATGAACTCCAGGTGTGCCAGTACTGGATCCTGCCCATCTCAATTAGTCATCCCACACCTCATTGTATCTTCCATGTTGAACTGAGGGAATGGACAATCCAGTGGCCGTTACTAGAGTGCCTCGTCTATTACGACGGGTACTCATGTCGTATATCGCGTCTAGGTACGTTGTGACGATAGGTGTGAACTTGGTAGCCCCCTGTACGTACCGTTGCTATAGAGGGCTGGTAAGGAGAACACTGAAGTCTCCCACTATGACTAAACCCTGTTTGGCCCGCGATAAGGCAACTGTCACCCTCTGGGGGTCCAGGAAGAAACCGAATTTTTCCTCTGGATCCATCAGTTTCGATTTCCTTGTGGTGACAAGCAGAACTACATCTGCCTCTTGGCCTTGGAAGGAATCCACTGTATGCACCTCACAGTCCATGTCCTTCAGCCTATGGTCCAAGGACTTTTTCGTTCCCAAGTAGAAGCATGCGACGACCTTTGAAAGTCCCTGAAATCGCTGAAAGGCACGCATAATGTTAACCGCAATTCCCTCATGCTCGGCATTCACCCGAGAACGGAACACATCACGCTGGTTCGTACCCTGATGATGGAGAAGAATCAGCGGGACTTCCTTAACCGGCAGAGATAGCATGTTGTTTGCGAGCAGAGCCCTATCATTAGCCTTGACGCCGGAGCTAAGGAGGCTTTTATATGCGGCCACAGACAAGCAGCGTGTTAACACAGGGTTGCGCGGAAACTTACATTGAGACTGCAAGTTGGCACTACGCAGCGGTCGTCTATAAATTGTATGATACTGCGCATCCCATAGTTAATAAGTGGCAAAGGGACCCCAACCATATAAGGTGGAAGCTGTTGGCGATCACCAGTGAGGAAAACTTGTTGCAACGTTGGAAATGCTGCACACATAGCCAGCATTTGTCCTTCTGGTATAACACTCGCTTCATCCACTACCAGATACTTAACCTGGTTCCCCAAGCGTTTACAGTGTGCTTGCGCTAGTGCTAGTGTTCCTACCACGATCTTATACTGATGACCTGCCAGTGCGATCCTCACCGTGCGGCCGTCGTTCGCTCGAAGACCCTGGTGTGGCAGCCGACGGTTAACATAATGCCCGACAAATCTTCGCTGATTATGCTCCACTTGGCCTAGCTGGTACTGTCGCTGAAGGGTTTCAGGCAGCCTAGATCCTTGCCATCTATTCGGATCTGCATCGGCTGTCTGTGGATAAATGAGCTCAGCTTCAGTAGACTGGAGAAAGCAGAGCTCATTTTCATCCAGCTCTGTGGCGCAGTTGAGGATCATATTTGCCACGTTAATGACAGCCACATTTGTGGCTGGCACTATCAGGATCAGCTTCGGACGTATAAGTGAGCGCAGAAGCTGAGCAACATAGGCGGCTATTACCCATGTTTTGCCTGTTCCCGCTGGCGCCTGCTGAAAAAGAATGGGGGTTCCCGTTTGCAACTGCCTCAACACTTCAGTTTGCTCCTCAGTGAGAGCCCCTGAAATAGCTGGTGCTAATTGATGTGGTGCTGCTGTCCATTGCACGTCACGAGCACCTAGCAGAAGTTTTACAATCGGTGTATTTGGAGCAGGGAAGCGCATTGCCGCAGCTAAGCAACGATCCCGGAATTGCCGTGCAGGAAATTCGTAGCCTGTGTAGGAGCTGTCCGCCCAGAAGCTTATTAGATTGGACTTCATATCATCGTAACGCAGCATATACAAGTCAGGTTGGTCCAGCTCCTGTACACTGACACGTACCTTTAAGGTAATTTTATCCAGCTCATCAAAATTCATTTCTCTGATGGCCCCTTGCACCGTGTCTATTCCATTGAAAGAGACGCGTAAGAATGCCCGAGGTTGCCAAAATCTTATTCTATTTGCCAGGAGACCTGAGTTATTATTTGGCTCAATTTCGGCATAAAAATCCGTATCCGTAAACTTTTCTACAGGACCCGTATGTTTGGTACTCTTC